TGATATCCAAACCAGTGATCCCCCCACTCTATCTGCAACAATTGGGCTCGCAAGGCTTTACAAAGATTGCACCGGTGAGTCACGCAGGCTACCTGCTTATGAATTTAAAAGATCCCCTCCACCCACTGCCAATGCACCACCATTGCCATCACCCACTTTGGCACGCCCAAGGCCCCCTATCATTCGTCGGTTATCACCTGGGGAATTAAAGGAGCGTCGAGACAAAGAGCTCTTTTTTAATTGCGATGACAAATTCTCTCCTGGCCATCGTTGCGAGAAACTTTTCCTCATAGAAGGAGTTTTCGATGAAGAAGATGAGCCTGACCCTGAGCCTATTTTCAAAGGAGAAGAAAAGGTAATAAAGATCAGTTTACATGCTATCACCAGGACCCAGTCGCCACAGACCATGAAAATTAGTGGGAAGGTGGGGAATACTGGTTTCACCATTTTGGTGGATTCGGGAAGCCCCCACAATTTTCTTAATATTGATTTAGCTCAACAATTGGGTTTAAAGCTTGAAGGAGGGACTTTCTCAGTTGCTGTTGCCAATGGAGAAAAAATGACCAGTCCAAGTGCTTGCAAAGGTGTGGAGGTGAAGGTTCAAGAATTAATTTTTCCTGTGGATTTTTACCTCTTACCAGTGGAGGGATGTTCTGCCATCTTTGGAACCCAATGGCTGCGTAATTTGGGAGCCATAATTTGGGACTTTAACGATCTTTGGATAAGATTTTGGTGGGAAGGAAAAATGGTGGAGCTACGTGGCTTTCAAGAACCTCCTAATCAAATATTGGGGGAGTCCAATTTGCCGAAGAACATTAGGAAGAAGAAACGAGCTTTTTTTTTCCAGCTTAGTGGTAATTGTCATCAAACCCCATCGAGTAGTACCCCACCCATGGCCACTGATTTATTGGAGTTGCTTAACAAACATTCATAATTATTTGTTGAACCCCAGGGCCTCCCTCCTAAGCGAATTCAAGACCACAGAATTCCCTTGAAGTAAGGAGCTGGGCCAATCAATGTCAAATCGTATCGTTACCCACATTATCAAAAAGATGAAATTGAGAAATTGGTGGCTAGACTTTTGTTATCTGGCGTAGTAAGGATTAGCACAAATTCTTATTCTTCCCCAGTCCTCTTGGTTAAAAAAATATGACGGGTCGTGGAGATTATGCGTTGATTATAGAGCTCTAAATGATGTCACAATCAAGGATAAATTTCCAATTCCGGTGATTGATGAATTACTGGATGAATTACATGGTGCCAAATTTTTTACAAAGCTAGACTTCCGAGCTGGGTACCACCAGATTCGTATGCACCCGGAAGACGTGGAGAAGACAGCCTTCCAAACACACCATGGGCATTATGAGTTTTTGGTCATGCCTTTTGGTCTTACCAACACTCCTTCAACATTTCAAGCTACTATGAATGAGGTATTCCATGATTATCTCAGAAAATTTGTATTGGTATTTTTCGACGATATTTTAATTTATAGCAAGGATTGGAAAGAACACTTGAAGCATGTAGAAAGAGTTTTGCTAAAATTATGAGAACATCAATTTTTTGTAAGACGAGACAAATGTCAATTTGGTCTTTAGGAAGTAATTATTTGGGCCATTTAATTACAAGTAAAGGAGTGGCTATGGATCCCGAAAAAATTGAGGCAATGGTGTCTTGGCCAAAACCCACTACTCTGAAGGGCTTAAGGGGATTCCTAGGTTTGATGGGGTATTATAGAAGGTCCATAAAAAACTATGGAGAAATTGCGAGACCCCTCACTAGTATGTTAAAAAAAAGATGCTTTTGAGTGGTCAAAGGAAGCGGAGAGGGCGTTTGAGCGGCTTAAAACGGCCATGAACACTGGGCCGATTTTAACCTTACCAGATTTTTCTATGCCATTTGTGGTTGAATGTGATGCATCCGGAACAGGACTCGGGGCGGTCTTGATGCAAAACAACAAGCCATTGCTTTTTTCAGCCAAGCTCTCAACGGGAAAAATCTTGCCTTGTCCACTTATGAAAAAGAAATGCTCGCCTTGGTGAATGCTGTCCAAAAATGGAGGCCTTATTTATTGGGATCAAGATTCTTAGTCAAAACGGATCAAAAGAGTCTTCAATACCGTTTGAGTCAAACCATCACCACACCTGCACAACAAAAATGGCTTGTTAAATTGTTGGGATACAACTTTTAAATTGAGTACAAGAAGGGAATTGACAATGGAGCCGCGGATGCTTTGTCTAAACTACATAAGGAAGACCTCAAACCAACCCCCAAGTCCTTACAAAGGTGGCCAAGGTCAAGGAGAGTGAATTACAGGGTATCACTTAAGTCATTCCCAAATAGGCCGATGCCATCAAAACGGAGGTTGCCAATGAAGTTGAATTACAGATGTTCGCACAAAGAATTACTGATAGTGAAGCAGTAGGTCCATGGGCATATAAAGAAGGTATTTTATTTTTTAAGAACCGTATATACCTCTACCCAATTTCTCCTTTAATTCCTACCATTGTTCATGAATTTCACTCAAGCGCTCATGAGGGATTGCATAAGACAATGTATCAGATTAGGCAAAATTTTTATTGGAAGGGCATCAAGGGGTGTGTTCGAAAATTTATCCAAGAATGTGGAGTTTGTCAAGCCCATAAACCTGAACATATGCATCCTGCTGGACTCCTAAGCCCCTTACCTATACCCAAGCACATTTGGACGGATACATCAATGGATTTTGTAGAGGGTCTTCCTAACTCTAAAGGAAAGACCATTATTTTTGTGGTGGTTAATCGTTTATCCAAGTTTGGGCATTTTATTCCTATTAGTCACCCATACATGGCGGTCACCATTGCTCGCCTATTTTTTGAACATATTTTTAAACTTTATGGAATGCCGGAATCAATTGTGTGTGATTGCGACCCTGTGTTTACTAGTACCTTCTGGAGAGAATTGTTTTAGTTATAGGAACTTAAGTTTAACTTTAGCTCGGCATAACACCCACAGAGAGATGGCCGAATGGAGGTTGTTAATAGGACTTTGGAGATGTATCTACGGTGTTTGACTAGCTCCCGGCCTAAGGAATGGTTGGGTCCAATATTGTTACAACACTAGCGTGCATTCGGCTTTGGGAAAGACTCCATATGAAGTATTATACGGGCACCATCTGCCTTCCTTGATTGCATATGTTCGTAGTACTGCTAAGATCAAATCCGTAGAGTAATTTTTGGTGGCAAGAGATGTGGTGATTCGCGAAGCCAAGGCGAATTTAGCTTAAGCTCAAAATTGAATGAAGATTCTTTATGATAAAAAGCATATGGAACGCAAATTTGAAGTGGACGACCGGGTGTTTCTTAAACTCCACCCTTATTGCCAACAGACTGTGGCTCAGCGGAGGAACCAGAAACTTGCTGCCAAATACTATGGTCCCTGCCAGGTGAAAGAAAAAATTGGTGAAGTTGCCTATCGCTTGCATGTACCTCACATCAAAACTCCATCCAGTTTTCCATGTGTCCTTGTTGAAGAAGCAAGTGATAGTGGAGAATGCCTTACCAGCTTCTTTGCATAGTGAACAACCCCTACTTCCTACATCACAGGCGATCCTTGAAACTCGACAGCACAAGGGTAGTTCCCAATTACTCGTTCATTGGCAGCATATATCTCCATTCGATGCAACGTGGGAGAATTATGACAAGTTTCGATTTCGTTTCCCTTAATTTTTCCTTGGGGACAAGGAAAATTTTAAGAAAGGGGGAGTTGATACAGTCCAGGAAGGATATCTAGGGAGTTTATTTATTTAATCCTATTAAAACGATTATTATCATGCATTAGGATAATCTTGAATAGAATGCTGAGGGATAGGTTTGTTGTCCCTAGTAATTCGGAATTAATGAGCAATAATCCCGAATAGTTAGGAATAGATTAGTATTAGTTTAATTTTTATCTTTAACATTTAAGCTCTATTTATAGAGATAGGAATATTGAATAAAGACATTGAATCTAACTTTACAAGTTCTGTGGTTGAACGAAGGAATTCTTGGAAAACTCGAATTCCCCATATTTGGAGACCAAGGATCCCTCAACGTATCTTACCTAACAACATAAGTCGACCACGTAAGGTTGATCCGTTCTCTTTACCTATTCATAAACCCATCACACGTTCGCAAACTAAGGAACATAACACTATGTATGACTGATGTGGTCTTAATATTATTATTTATTAGTTCTTATTTTTACTATGGTAATTGACAGTATAGTTCTTAACATTATTATGATAATTTTTTGGTTGAAACTTGAATGTGATATGATATTGGATAAATGATTGAATATATTATTGATGAGATATGATATATTATTTGTAAACAAAAAATTTCATTGATGAGATATAATATATTATTTGTAAAAAAATTATTTAAAATTTTGGATAAATGATTGAATGATATATTTAATGCTAATGAACAGGTGTGAAAACAGATTATATGTGTTAAACATGTCTGTGTTATGTGCTCTAAATAAGTTAAATAGATCATATTATGTGTGTAAACTCAAAAATAATCTGTTTATTAAATGTGTCAAACAGGTCGGGTTCGAGTAACCCGTTTAGTGGTCAGATCAGGTTAATGTTTATACATTTTGATATGATTATTAAACATGTCAAATTTGAGTTTTTAAATTTTCAACATAAACTCAAAATCAATCGGATACGAAATGACTCAATCCGACACGTTTTACACCCCCAACAATTTCATTTCTTCTCATCATCGATGAATTTATAAGGTTAAAATAGTAATTTCGTATTGCAAGTCAAACCCCATCCTATTCACAGCTCCATCCACAGACAACCCGCCACCGGAGATAACCACTCTCTCTCTCTCTGTCAAAACCTCCCAAAAGCAGATCTAAGAAAGAAGCCCTTTCAAATTCGAAACCACGCATCACCACGAAACTTTAAATCTTTCAATCCAATCGGTTCGAATCAATTCGATTCGAATCGAGGGAGAGACCTCTCTCAGCAAATGGGGGATTTCAACCTAGCGCTCGTGATCGTCGCCATTATCGTGTGCGTACTGGTCTTTGTCTTCAATGTCTACCTTCTTGTCAACTACCAACACCCCGACGACGCCAACCAGGCCTATTTCCCCAAATTCGTCGTCGTTCTGGGCCTCTCCGTTGCCGCAATCTCTATTTTGATGTTGCCGGCCGATGTTGCCAATCGGCAGGCTTGTCAACACGCGATTTATAATGGCGCGTGTAATCTCACACTCCCGATGAAGGATCTCTGGCTTGCTATCTACATTCTCGACGCTGTTCTCGTCTTCTTCATTATCCCTTTCGCTATGTTCTACTACGAAGGCGACCAGGACAAGTCCGTTCATTTTTACTTATATCTTGTAGTTTGATCATATTTTTATCTATTGTGTGCATTTTATATGTGTCTATTAGTATTTTTCATGCAGGAGTGTTGGCAAACGGATTAAAAGCGCATTGTTGTGGGTGATAACTACGGCAATTGTTTGTGGTCTAGTGCTCGGCATTCTATATGGTTAGTTTTTAATATTCCTACTATTTTTTGGAGATGATAAATAAATTTTAAACGTAATCTGCTGCTGTTTTTTTTTTTTTTTTTTTTTATTGGCGATGCATATTCAAATTCTAGGAAAAATGTGGTAGCATTGGATGCCCCTTCACACAAATTCTGTTGTTTCTTAGTATTCATATGGGCTTGCGTAGTTAGAGATGTATATTTTATTGCACGAGTCATTTTGAGTATAAAATATGGATTATTACTATTGTAAAGGTTATCAAATATATCAATATTTAGATCATCATAAAACAAATGACCCTCTACCCTTCAGTACCTTGAAGCTAAATGTGCTTCTCATGATTTCTATGGAGAAGTTTCTTGGTTTGACGACCTAATTTTCCACTGTAAAAGCATTAAACCACCAAATATTAGCTATGTTAAACTCATTTCAAATCACAAATAAACAGATAAAGATAACACAATAGCTAAACTTGCTCGAGCTTAAAAAAGTGAGTTCTTCCCTGGTTAGTTTCTCGGATCAGTTAGACTTTCCCAAATGAATTACGCTAGCACAATTACTACGAGAAAATAGCTTATGTATCCAAACCTACGAAGTTTTTTGCTAGTGCTAGTATTCATTTTATCTCCGAAAAAATTGTAGAGCCTCAAATATAGTTTAAAACAATAGAATAAATTTTTTTTCCCTTCTTGGTGGATAATAGAATAAAAATCAAAACAAACCCATCACTCTATAAATACAAGAAAGATGTTTCCATAAAGAACTTCAAAGCATAATGACATGTTACATTGATGAAATTAGAGCAAAACTCGAGATAATAGAAGTATTATGTGGTTTATAGTGTTTGAAAGATATGCATATGCACTCCAGAATACTTCAGTTTACTAAAGGCTAAAATGTGTTAATCAAACATCATTACTCAATAAGTTCTCATAAAGTCCTAAATGCTAAGTCTCATTTGTCTCATCATTCACCTTTAATAGCTGGGACCCAACCAACCCTGAAAAACAATGAAAAGAAAAACTTTTCATAAACTGCATTAAACTTTGCAGGCTCATTCTTTAATAAGATTTCACACTGTAGATACTCAATCAAAAGTTTAAACCAAAGAATCAGCTGCAATGAACAAAATCCCAGCACATGTGATGCATTTTAAGTCCCTTCGCTCTTTGCATACCTCTTTTGAGTTATTTGAAATTGCCTGAGCAAAGTTTTGCCTGACAATTCATATGCAAAATTGTTGAAAGTATAACAAACAAGAAATGATTGTAAATAATAACATAGGATGGGACAACAAAACTGAATAAGGATACTAAATCCTCTTCCCAACGCGTGCCACTGATTCTGTCCCAAATTCCTTTAATAATTTTTGATACAGCTCATCAAGGTTAGAATTGATCTCAGATGCCACACTGTTTGCAACTCGAAATCAATAGTTAGACGATGAGATTGATGATGAGTCTAATTTAGAAAAGACTCAGTATTTAAACAAGGACTCCTAACTTGAAGCTTAATAATATAAACATTAATGAATTCCTTACATTTGGATGAAAAGAAGTAAGCCCTGCCCAGTCCTACAACAATAATGATTATGAAATAGTGCCAAACTAATGAAAGAACAACAACAAAATAAATAGGCCACAGAATCCATGATATGACCTTCATAATTGTTTTTACATCAGCCTCCAAAGCCTTGAAAATAACAATCCGTATGAAATCAAAATCTAATTATTTTCAAACTTAGTCAGCAAAACAAAGTGGCTGGGTTAAGCAACCTCTTTGATTGAAATACACTGATATAATGACTATATAAATATTAATATGGAAGGCAGAAACCCGTACAATAGCATGGTGACAATTTTATTTGTAAATTTTTAAAGTAATTACACACACAACCACTTACTGAGGAAACGATTGTCCTAATGTCGTTAGTTGAAATATTTGGCAATGATACATATCCAGCAAATATGCATCACAGAGTATTTGGCCAACCTTGGTTAATAAATGAAGAAGTGATGATTGATTGAGCCAACCTTGGTTGATGTTTTAGTAATAAACTAATAATTATGTACATATTTCCAACTTTTATGTTGTGTTTCACCCATTTTTCCTCTATGATGGTACTAGGACTTGTTGGAAAGGTGGATTTCACTGTTAGGCACCTCTCATCAGCCACCACTGCCTTCCCAAGTACATGGGGCTTCTCTAGCAGTCAACAATGTATTGGCGGTAGCAGTGCACACCAGGTTGATAATCTAATAAGTTTATTGAATTGAATTCCTCTATGCTTTTTTAAGTTCTTATTTACTTGAGGTTTTGCTTAGCATCTTGTTGCTCATGGAAATATTCTCAAGATGAACTGATACTTCTAATTCTCATTTCTCATATCGTCTCGCATTTTACAGTGTTCTGCATATATTGCTAGTGCTTCATCGGAAACTACATGGACAATGCGCTCTACATTCCCAGAATATGTTGTTGCATTGGCTACAATTGTCGGATCAGTACTGTTCGCTGTATGTTCTTTCTTTCAAATTTTTACAACACTACACATTATGATTTCTTATTTGATTAAGGGTAATATAATTTCCAATGTCTTTCTCATAATTGCCTATTGAATTCTGACTTGGTTCACATGAATTGATTGTGTGTGTGTGTGTAAGGGTAATAGAAGACTCAAATCAAAATAATTGTTGACCCCTTGTATCAAGGAAAAACATGACTCTTGACTTCGTCATGGGTTTGGTCTAGTATAAGAATATGTAGTTTTCATGGAAAATACGAGTATAGTTCCATTATGGTCCACAATGATGAAAAGAGTTGTCTGTAAGATGAGGAGTTCAGCTTTATGTATTTGTTCTTTTTCAAGGATGTTATAATCAAGTTTTAGCCTCCCATTGCTCTATCCAGATATTTGGTGGTGTTGGCATTGCTTGTCTGCCGTTGGGACTTATATTTTCATTTATTAGGCGTCCAAAGGCTGTTATCACTCGGTCACAATATATCAAGGTACCTTTAAATTTTGCACCATTCATTTGTATGAGACTATGTTTGAACAACTTCGTCCTCATTTTCATATTTAAAATGCATATGAATGGTTCACTTTTTTGTCCTATAGGAGGCAACCGAACTTGGTAAAAAAGCAAGAGAATTAAAGAAAGCAGCTGATGCACTCCATCAGGAAGAAAGGGGTGGGAACAAGGGAAGAAAATGGCGTAAAAATGTGAAGGCAGTGGAAAAGGTACATTTTGATTTTGGTAAATAAGCAAAAGCACACTTTGGTTTGGGTGAATAAGCTTAAGGGGCTAACCACATTTTGGCATTTGGTGTATTTGCTGGTGCAATGAGTAGTTCTTAAGCTGGAATATATTTCATATGAGTACTGAAACTGCTACAGGTTTCATGTGTGCAGTAATATTTAATAAGAGAAAAGTTTTGATTTGCAGTACTAACTTCTTGGAAGGACAATATCATGTCTCAGTAGCAAATTTTTTATTTGAAGACTTTTTTTGGATTAGCAGTTTACCTTTAAGCATGAATGATCCTGTATATGTGAGATAACCTGGCCAGTCTCATACAGAGAGAAACTTAGGAGGTGGAGATGTCTATTTATATATTGATGGATCACTAAAACTATGTTTGGAATCCAAAATTATAAGTTGTTTACATTTGTAAGCTCCTAACCTATGAAGCACGGATACGGGATATAGATACGATACGGATACGGCGATACGGGAAAAAAAAAAAACAGGATATGGGTATGGCTAGGATACGTCCTTAAAATATATATTTTTTAAAATTTTATTATTATATTTAATGTAATAATTATGATTTATAAAGTAAATCACACATCTACCAAAGATATATAATAATAACTAGTCATTCTATCATTCATAAATCATATATTCTATATCACATACATATTGCATAATATCAAGTTCATGCTTAAACAACACATACATATCGCATAATATCAAGTCCATGCTTAAACAAAAGAAACCATCTGATTACAAGTCAAGCAACAAAAAACTTGCAGTTTGGAATATTATCCTATTACAAGTTAAGCAACAAAACAGTCCCTCTTGTTACTAAGACGTTTCCCCAAAATTATCTTTATTTCTATCCCCTCCATCTTGGAAGACTTGCAACTTCAAGCAACCAAGCACCCTCCAATGAATCAAATGCATTTCCACCAATGTCCCATAGTTTCGTATCTCCTTCTATGTATTGTTTACCCCTCCTCGATAAGAGACGAAGATTGTTGTGTGCAAAAATCAAATCTTGGGCACGAAGTAGTGTCATTTTGTTCCTTTTTATGGAAGTAATGAAAGAGTAAGTACTCCAATTTCTTTCACTACAAGATGAGGAACAAGGCTGACTAAGTAATTTTAATGCTAAAGATTGAAGCATTGGTGCAGGAGACCCATGAGAAAACCACCACATGAGAGGGTCTATTAATCCTCGTTGTACTCTTGAGTCGTGCTCTCCAAATTGATCCAAACAACTAGAGAACTTAGCATACTTAGTATTAGCCTTCATTCTCTCTTGTGGATTCGGAAAGTATATGTGAAAGTATTTATTTCTCATAGATGAAATATCTTCGTCCATGTGAGGAGGAACGCGATTGGAATTTTCATTTAGCCACTATGCACTATAATACCTATATTGTAAAATTAGAAGATATCAAAACCAACTCGATAACAAAAAAAAAAAGAGTAATTTAAGAGTAAAAACTAAAAAGAAAGTTGTCAACTTGGATTTAAGGAATGTGCAAGACAATGAAGAGGTGTGTACTTTTTGCCCATCTCCTAACTAGAATTTGATGTACCATATCATAAAAGATTGACCTTGCATTATCTGGCTTCTCATAATGCCTCTATATAGTTGTCTTCACCTTGTCAATCATTATGTCCCACATTTCGTAAACCAAATGAAGACATGGTATGTCTGTATTGCAAACCCTCAACATCTCATAAATGGACAATGTGAAAGAAAGTATTTAATCTATCTTATCCCACCAAATGTCACTCAAGATGTTTTCCTTCACAAATGCCGCTTTCACAACATCTTCTTTGTAAGAAGACCATTTCTCACTAATTACCATTGCTTGAAGATCATGCTTGATGAGTTTAAATCTTTTCATCATTATAATAGCAGATGCAAAACGAGTGTCCGCAACAGCAACTTCAAAGGCACAAACTTATTGAAAATAAATAACCTCATAGAATGATTCATGATGAAATTTTTGATAGTTACTAAATCTTTAACAACTTCTATAATCCAGTGACATTCCTCATAAGTAACTGCATTCTTCTCAAGATTTTTTGCTGCACAAATATTCTTAAGGGCAAGATTCAATGTGTGCATTACACATGGGGTCCAGAAGATATGTTGGAACTCATTTTGAATGATTAATCCAGCAAAATAACAAACAGGAGCATTATCAGTAATTACTTGAATCACATTTTGAGGTCCAACTTTTGTAATTACTTGATTGATTAAGTTCGCAATAAAAACTTATCTTTGATCTCACCCTCGCAGTTGACAGCTTTTAAGAATATTGCCCCAGATTCTGATGCAGCCATGAAATTGATAAAAAGGTCTTCTTTGTGAATCAGTCCATCCATCTGTAACAATGCTTACTCCCTTTTCCTTCCATGACAATTTAGTTGGCTCCAACAACTTTTTTACATGTGCCATTTCCTTTTGAAGTAGCGTGGTCCTCAATGCATTGTAACCAGTAATCAAGTTAGTGGTAGCAAATGTATAAGAACTCACATAATATGGGTTCCTAGCTAAATGAAAAGGCAAGCCACCTGAATAAAACATTTGTGCAATGTGAGAGTGCAATTCTTCCTGAGTACCCAAGTTAAAAGCTTTCTCCAAAGCACTAGTTCCAGTCGCGTTCTTTTTTCTTGGTTCAAAACCTTCCATTCTAAGTGTTCCAATTTTTGATATCCTCATACTACTAGTTATAGGGGCCTCGAAAGAGAAAGGTGGCAAAGGAACTTTCTTTGACATAGTCATTTTAACTCTATTCTCTATTTCTTCAATTAACCTTTGCATCTCAATAAGTTTTTGGGGAGTCACTTTAGAGCACATTTTAACCTCGTGACCATAAATTTTCAATAAATGTGCCTTCACACGAAAATATGATCCACTATACTAATTCCGACATAAATTGTATTGGAATCTAGTATTTCCACCTCCTTTTCCATTCTTNTTCACACGAAAATATGATCCACTATACTAATTCCGACATAAATTGTATTGGAATCTAGTATTTCCACCTCCTTTTCCATTCTTTTCTAATTTAGTAACAAAACCCCAAAGTGGAGAATTATCATCTTGAGTGGCGCTGCTACTTCCACTTCCACCTCTACCAGTTGAGCCCATACTTTCCTTACTCGTAGTCATTCCCCTATAATTATTAATTTAATAAAATAAATCAGTAGTATAGTAAAATTAGTAGCAGTAAAATTCAAGGGCCCAAAAAAAAGCCCTAGTTGTTGAATAATATATCTGTATATGTATAGTTTGTTCTCCAAATTGCTCCAAAAGAAAAAAAAACCTAATTACAAATCCTAATTCAAGGCCCCAAAAAATCCCCTAAATTGCAAACCCTAACTCAAGGCTCAAAAGGAGTGCTAAGCTAATCACTAATAAAAGGCAAAAGAGACGACAATTTAGTGGTTTTATATGCTAACTGTTACAGATTGGTCTGTATTGTCATATCTCCATTAAAAAAACACTGACCGTGCTATTAAATATGGAACCCATGAAAAGTGAATATTTTAGGATGTCCCAAAATTGTGTAGAAGACTTGGTAAGAAATGTAATTAGTGGCAAGAGAAAGACATGCGCAAGGTTGTAGAGATGCAGAATCGTGTTTGTGAAGAAAAGCCCATTAGATCAGAGAGAGAGAGAGAGGGGCACAAGAACATCCATCCATATATTTGTAGAATGGGAAGATGATGATCATTGATTCAATATTCATGATTGGGCTAGAGAGAGGAGAGAGCTTACCCGACGTCAAATACAGTCAGTTAATCGTCAGTGTGAGTGAGTGAGAGAGA